AACTCCCCAGCCAGTGAATCCCTCCCCCCCTCACCTCCCTCTCTTCTCCTCCCCTGGCTTGGCCTCTGCCCAGCAACCCCACCTCCTGGCCCACTGCAACCCAGCTGGGACCCCATCTCCTCTTCTCCCCCCCTCCCCGCCTTGCACCTGGATCCCCATCTCTTGTCTGGCTCTCTAAACAATCCCCCCTCCCACTACTCTCTGAGCCCTGAACCCTCCCCACACACACACCTGCCAAGGAACCCAGCCCCCTTGTGCTGTGTCCTGACAACCTCTCCCCTGCCTGGGACCCAGGTGATTCTCCCTCTCTCTTTGTCTGAGGAAGGGGAACTCTGGTGTTCCCAGTGCCCATGTCCCCAAGTTCCTTCCAGTCTGGGGCAGGAGAGCTGTATTAAAGTTGGAATTGTGATCCCATTTAAATAGGCTTTGTTACAAATAATACACCTTTAAAATTAAATTAAAAATTGTTATGGCCTAAATTTATCATAACCTATTTAAATAACTTATTAATTAAATTTAAAAATTAAATAGAACATGTCTCCTGTCAACTTTTAAAGAAATTCTACCAGTTCATTAGTGTAAGAACCCAGAACCAGTGTTTACATCAGCAGTAGCTGATTTATTTCAGTTCAATGATTAGTTCATTCACTGTTGCAAAATCAGGAGTTGACGAAGGAGAAAAACATATTTTCCTCTTCTCTCAGTAAAAAACTGGTTATGAGAGCGTTCTAACATCTTGAAGAACATGACTAGATTCGATCTGTTAAATTCACTATGGGTATTTCCTTTGTTTAATAAATGAATTTTAGATGCAAAATGTGTTTGGATACTTTTTTGTTATGTGTCCTTCACATTTAAGGTAGTTTTATTTCATACAAAAATTAAATGCTGGTTTTGTTTATTTTAAATAGAATTTCCGTCCAAACAGAAGTAGATACAAATCATATGTTTTAAAAAAAGTAGCCACCACTTAGCAAATAATAAATGGGGTAAAACCTCTCTCTTAAGTATTCCTATTACATACCATTTTGTAATAGAATAAAAATGTAAAAATTAAGAATCTGATTACATGTAAGTTACACAATTATTTGGGCATTTATTTAGTTGGAAGCTATACTGAGTGTATTCTCCTGGTTAGTAAATAGAAGCACCAAATTTGGCATAAAGGTTATATTTAATTGTAAATCAACATGTTTTAAAGGTTGCTAATCAGTAAGACTCAACCATCCTTTAGGAAAGTATAATTTAAATGATTAATTGCTCATTTAAACCTAGGTTTTCTGCTTGCCAGTTTAAATCATGATTAAAATTAGAGATTTAAATCAAAGCTATTTAAATCAATCCACCTTGCTTCAGAGGCTGTTTGGTCCCTCCCAGAAGGAGAAAGCACAGGGATGTGCTCTTGGAATAGGTCCTAGGCTAAGTGGCATTTTGTTGTCTGATGCCTGTCTTGTTCTGGACAGTTGAGCTGGGGAGTTGAAACAAAAGTTCTCTTAATCCCTTTGAACTGTCTCATTGTATAGTCAGACAGATTCTTGTCCATGGACACCAAGGGTTGGACAGCTTATGTGTTGGGGTTGGAGTCTGAGTGATTAGAAGGTTTCTAATAATAAAATCCCTTTGCAGAGTGAGGAGTGAGACCAGGACTCCAGCACTAGGTGATGTGAACAGCTGCATGCTTTGGAAGTCTTTAACTGACTTGCTGTGGATGAACCTGCTTCCCATTGACCTCACGTGGGGAGTCCCTGGTGCTCTCCTAGGAGATGAAAATGCCCTGAGGTTTGGGTTCCCCCAGAAGTGTGCGCCCCACCCCCAGGAAGCCGCACAAGCTGCATTTGTGCGCACATCCCCAGCAAGCTGTGCAAGCTGCATTTGTGTGTGCACCCTCCCCGGACAAAAAAGTGGGGGGGGGGAGGGAGTGACCAAAAAATTTTTTGTTTGGGGCGGCAAAAAACCTAGAGCTGGCCCTGGCAACAGCAGAGCCGGGGATCAGCCGAAGTCCCCAGCTGATCCCCAGCTCCACTTGCACTGCCCCACTGAAGCACTGGAGCAGCACTTCAGAAGGGCAGCGCAGCATTAACTCCTGCAATTAACGCGTTAATTCTGTCCTGTGTTAATCACAGGCGTTAATGCAGGTCAATTGACAGCCCTACTTATTTTTTCCGTTTCCCCAGCCCCAGGCAATAATGTGGCTTTGTGGGGGCAGTGGTAGCTTAATCACCACGAGGAATAAACAACTCCTTTGCACCTCCAAGATCTCCCATTAAATGTTACTGAATTGATTTTTTTTCATTATGAGTAGTTCTACACAGCACAGAAGAGGGAACAGGATTTGCTTCATAATCATTACAGAGACGTTAAGGGTTCTCAAAGAATTCTTATGAGTATTCTGGTTATTTTATGTAGGACAAAATTACGGTCTCTCACAGTATCTAGTCTTTGTAAAGATTTATCTTTGGGGTAGGTTTAAAAACCTATTCATCAGTCATTGTGGGAGACATGTTCTGAAGGTTGTATTTGGGCAGTGGTAATTCTAAGTACAGGCAGTCCCCGGGTTACGTACAAGATAGGGACTGTAGGTTTGTTCTTAAGTTGAATCTGTATGTAATTCGGAACTGGCGTCCAGATTCAGCCGCTGCTGAAACTGACCGCCAGTTCTGACTTACATACAGAATCAACTTAAGAACCCCAGGCGTCCCCAAGTCTGAAGGTTGTATTTGGGCAGTGGTAATTCTAAGTACAGGCAGTCCCCGGGTTACGTACAAGATAGGGACTGTAGGTTTGTTCTTAAGTTGAATCTGTATGTAATTCGGAACTGGCGTCCAGATTCAGCCGCTGCTGAAACTGACCGCCAGTTCTGACTTACATACAGAATCAACTTAAGAACCCCAGGCGTCCCCAAGTCAGCTGCTGCTGAAACTGATCAGTGGCTGATTCCAGGAAGCCTGGGGCAGAGCAACTCTGCCTCGGGCTTCCTGTAGTCAG